GCTAACACAGATGCAGCATAATGTAACCCATTATTGACATTTCGCCCACACGGTGGGCTTTACCAAGTTGCAATCAGATTTACCTGGGTAGAGGCTGTGTATTATACACAATATATAGTGAGCCTAATGACGAAGAGTCAGGTGATAACGATCAGGAAACTTCTTGGTCGTTATCATACATAAGTCATAGTGTGGAGAATACTGCAGCTACTGTATAAAAAACACGGTACGGGTGGGGATCGAACTCACGGCAAGCGAGTCAAAACTCCAGGCCAGCGCATAGCTACTGTAGCAAGGTACTGTACTTAACGAATCCAACCAATTCTCAGCTATATATCTTGGTCCAGCCTGTCATTAGTCTGCCCGCGAAACATTTCAGTTTACTTTCATCCATCGTGTCGGTATTTATACAATTTCCCTCGACTCGCCACTAAATCTTTTCCTGTTAAGGTTAGGCAAGAGTCGCCAGTCTTATGATGACCAGCCACTGGAGCTTTTGGTCATCTGACCGAGGCCTTCCGCTAGCTTACCCGTCCACCTCTTTAAAAATTCAGATTACATTGAAGGATATTTGTTAACCTAGACTTTCTTGCCATGACCAAAGAAACGGAATGTGGTGGAGAAGAAAGGAAAAGTAAAGGTCAATAAGAATTGACTAAACGAACTTGGAATAATTAACACGTACACGACTCTAAGTCGGCAGTAGATGGCGACACCTGACAAATGGCGAAACAAAGGCACAGAGTAAGACTTACCGATGGCGAGCGAAATGAGTTGAATAAAAGGCTTAATTAATGTTTCAACTGTTGTTCGATTCACTGCCCAAATCATTTGATTTTTAATAATTATTCTAACGATCGAGTTTTAGTGTGAATTGTTATGCAATATACATGTTATCCGTGGAATTAAACGATGCTTGGAAGTCCACAAACTTACCTCAGTGGTGGAGTCAGGAGAGCAGGATATGAGGCAGTGCCAGGCGGAAGATCACTCCAGGGAGGCTTCTTGTAGTCAATGTGGGGCTTTTGATTCAACAAATTGGACCCCGACTTCTTCCGATGGGCCCCTTAAGGGAGGTTCCTTGACGCTGGTGAGGGGCTCTTGATTGGGGAATTTGGGATCGTGCTCAGTTCCCTAAACTGGCCTGAAGCCTTCCATCCCGCCCCCTCCCCCAAAAGTGCTTTAAAACCCTAGAGTTCAGCCCCTCCCCATGTAAATCCTTTCTTTTGAATCGAAAGGGGTTTTCCCCGGGAGCCTATCAAATGAAGAGAAAGTTAAGAACTTGTGCAAATCGGGGTATCTTTATTGTGACTTTCGCCACGTCTAAAAGAAAAAACCGATTTGCAAAAGTGTCTTAATTTCATCTTGTCGGTATTTTCCCTTTGAAAAACCATACACTAACTCATAGGTGGGCGAAATGTCTACATAATACCCAGGTGTTTTTAACTGTCTAATTTCCAGCTGATCACATGTTCAAATACACTTCAAAGAGCCTTCATCCCGGCCCCCAGCTTGTTAATTCTCCCCAGCAAAATCCACACGTCCCCAACCCGACCTTTTTCAGTTTGCACTCGGGCGCTAACCTTGCGGGAAAATACATTGAAAAGTACCCAAGAAGATGAATTAAAACAATGAAACCCTCGCTCCACTGCATTTGTATACTAAAAGATTTTCCCCCTTAACTGTGTAAACAGGTGCAACCACATCTCATTGACACTGTGTACTGACCCGATTCTCTAATGATTCAATATCTTCAATCTCGGCTTCAGAGAAACGTAGCGTTGAAGCTACGGATTTTTGCAAACCAAGACGCTCGGTGCTGATACGGCGATCTGCTTCTCGCCCCTCTGTCTACAACCCTTGACTCAAAACGTGTTAAAGATCTTTTTCCACACTGAATTTTGGATGATTCGAGAGTAAGTGAAGCAGTGTCGCCCTGCGTCGTCTCTGGCCTGATACTACCCACTTCCTTAACAAGCATAGCACAACCCAAACGATCAGAGGTGTGATTATCATTACCAGCAATGAACGGAGGGATGGGGGAGGAAGAGGAGAATAACACGACCTACAAGCACATTAGATACACCAGTGGGAGACATCAGTGGAAGACACCAGTAGGAAGACACTAGTGGGAAGACACCAGTGGGAGGACACCAGTGGGAAGACACCAGTGGGAGGACACCAGTGGGAGGACACCAGTGGGAAGACACCAGTGGGAGGACACCAATGAGTGAAACAGTGGGAGACATTACTGGGAAGACACCAGTGGGAAGACACCACTGGGAAGGCACCACTGGGAAGACACCACTGGGAGAGACAGTAGCCATAGTTGCTGCATCAGACTTTAAATTCTTGCGTACTGAATGGCTAAGCTGCCCAGCTCTTAATTTCCGTCTATATTTGATACCAAGAGAAGGAGCAACGCCCAAAAATGTTGAACCGATAAATTAGCCAGAGAATGCAAAGTATACGAGGTGGCCAGGCGCCTGACACACGTTCGACCAGCAACAAATAAATTGAAGATAGCCACCCTTTCGGGTTTAGCGCCCCCTCCCCATGAATGTAATTAAAAATGATGAAATAAAATGCTAAGAAGAGAGAGAGAGAGAAGAGAGAGAGAGAGAGAGAGAGAGAGAGAGAGAGAGAGAGATGGTATCACACTTTTTTCCTGCATGATCATTCCACTACCATCAATTAGCTGTGGATCTGGAAGTCCTCGAGTCCTCTTGGAAAGGCTTAGTCCATGATAAAGATAAAAAATATATGGATGAAAGGGCACAAACACATGCACTTACGATGTTTTTATTTGAAACGTTTCGTTCCTGGGACCTGGATCGCACCATGGTCCGAAACCTATGTCCTTTCATCCATATTGTCGGTATCAACATACCTTCTAGTCTGATTAAAGTCTCTATTTGCTCTTAAAATTCCATTTTAGAAGGAAGGGGGGGGGGTAAATCCAGTCTGTAAGTTGTCCATGGCGGCCTTAATACCTGTGTCAGGAGTATGTGTAAGTCAGGAGTGAGAGCTGCTGCTCCCTGGTGGCCTGAGGTCAGTGTAGGGAGGATTGTAGTGCTCTGGGGAACTGATGAGTCTTAGTTCAAGAAACATGAACAAATAGGACATTTTATGTGGAGAGAGAGAGAGAGAGAGAAGAGAGAGAGAGAGAGAGAGAGAGAGAGAGAGAGAGAGGGAGAGTGAGAGAGAGAGAGAGAGAGAGAGAGAAATACATTTACAACTCTCACTTTCCTGCTCTTCTCTCATTTCAACAGGCGCGGAAGTGTTCTAAAAAAATAAGGGCGAGATATCCTGCCGCCTATTTTACAAGCTAATATTGTTTATTATTGTCATTATTATTATTATTATTATTATTATTATTATTATTATTATTATTATTATTATTATTATTATCATATTCATTGCAGTGCGCTAAATTCGTAGGGGTCAAACAGGGTCTGAAGAAAAGAGGACAACAAGGTACGATCCAAGAAAGGAAAAGCTAGCTTAAGTATCTTGAATCAAACGCTCTTCACCAGCACTGAGGCGCCGTCCTTGAAGGAAGTTTGTCTTCTTGTGGTCCGCTAAAGCTTAACAGAGTTCCTGGAGAACGAAATGTTAAACCCCATTTAATATCACATTAGTTGCACTGTGTCTAACGTTCTGCAAGGGAATTCTCATATTACTGTTATTTTTTGTTTCACTTGGGGTGCCCCGTATCGTCAGGCATTTGGGGTCACGCCGGTGTGGCTTTGGTTCACACAGTGAGAT